TAATGTGCTTTTTAGATAGTCAGGTGTCCCAGTGACAAAATAAGTCTGATGAAAGAGAAAGGCACTTTAGCAGGCTAATTTATCTTCAGATTTTCCTAATATGCAGTACTAGACAATGGACATAGCGTACTGCCTTTTAATTTGCACAGTGTTAGATCAGTAATATTGTTAACCTGTTTCACTTTTTAACTAATGAGAAGAGTTTAGACTGGTGCCCATTCATTTCATCCTCTTTGGTACAAATTACTGCATTAAAAACAAAGCAGACAACTAAACATTCCTACACCATGGATTATTTTTTGTGCATCATCTCTAGCTCTACATTGGTAAATAATGTCCCTAGTCATCAAATCAGTTTTGCTTTCAGGTTTGTAAGATACCAGAGTTCTTTTATTTTCTGACAGTACTATAAAGATTTTTCCTGTTAATCACATGGAATTTTAAGCAATTCCCCCTCTTTTTTTGAAATTTCTACATGTGGCATTCGGTAACAGTCTGAAAATTACTGTCAGTTAGCTTATTCTAGGTAACATATCCAGATTAATGTGCATACAGCTGCATACTATTTAGCCTGATCACTTCCCTTAATTTATGATACATCAAAGTACTGAGCTAAGCCACATGAATTAATCTGCAGAAACAAGCCTTGGCCAACTCCATTAACCACCTTATCAAAACCAGGTAAGACCTGGAACCGGTATACCTTTCTGCAAGAAGAATCTCAACATCATGTATTGCAACCATGGCAGGGAAACTGTCCTGAAGTCTATTAACTGCCTTTCACCTTAAACATATGACAAAATTTGGTCTCGGGTGTTCCGTATCTACCTAACACCTTTCACTTAAAACTGTACATATATGTATGTGGGTTTTTTGCAAAAAGTGACAGCTCAAGAAGCGTCTTGTGAAGAACCGAGACATAATTCTTGCAAACATTTGTGCTCTTCAAAAAGAATCGATTCCGCTGAAGCACAAATACCTATCAGTTTAGAAACTGGAAGCATCAGAAAGAAGCCATATCCTTTCCGATTTTCCCACTCGTTCCCTGCTCCTAAGAGGGGAGGCCCACTTCTTATTCTCAAGGTAATCAACCTCCAGATTCAAAGAAGTCAAAACCTCTGAATGTTTCCCTGGCCTTTCCGAGAGCAGTGTGCCACAAATCCTTGCTACTTTTTGTATAGACCTAATTTTAGCACCAGCATTTTAGCACGCTGCTAGTGCTGCAATACTAAGCCAACAGAAAAAAGTCTTAAAAAATAAATTCAGTGATTCTTATAAATTCATATACTGAAATCATATATAGAAATATAGAAAAGCATTAGTTTGACGATGAAAAATTTCATGATAACATTTTTCTGTTCCACATATATTACACATCATATATGGTTTTCTCTGGAATTAATTTTTAGAACTCAGTGTAGTCGAACTCCCTTTTTTAATGATCTAAAACCAAAAAAGAATTCCAGTTGCTAATAGGTAATACAGGTTTCCAGTGCATAAATTCCAACATACAGCTGGAACATGAAGACTCAGATAATATATTCTGTAAATACTGAATATAAATGTGAAGTATAATTCTAATAATGTTAGAGTTACAGAGTTTTTAAAATCCGAGATTTAATGCTCATGATAGGGCCAAGGAAGAATTCCCTGTCATTTTGTGCTTAGGTGCATCATCTGTTTTCATGTAGCATTTATCTTTGCAGATACAACTGCAGCAATTATTTCTCTCTACAGAATAGTTTTCTCATATTCTGACACAGAAAACAAGTTATGTATTTATTTTTAATATAAAACTTGACTTCAGAAAAGCCTTTTCAAGTGTTACCAGCAGCATAAGACATTATGCAATAAATGCTAGCAAGTTACACACAGAAAAGTTGGCATATGGGATCTACAAAGCAAGCAAAGATAGCTGTTGCTTGACTGGCATGGCTAGAAGCAACAGCTGGAGACAGCCTTGGAAATGGTATTACCAGAACTGCAGCATGTGCTCTCCAGAAAAGAATTTAAATATTCCACTAAAAGAAATGCCCACACCCTGATTTGGCAAGGGAGGAGCTACTATCTAATAGAGATACCAATCCTATATATGATGAGATGCCTATTTCTCAGAAAACTTTATTCTGTTTTTCTTCCTACTAGTGAGAAGCCTAGCAGCAAGAAACTCTTGCAAGATGATCTGTTCCACTCTGACTTGCTCTGTTGGCTAAAAGCTGAAGTGCATCACTGATGCATAGCCTTTAAAGGGGCCATTTTGCGCTACCATATGTGCAGGGTAAAATTGTGACTAATCCAGACAGCCAAAAGCTCCTTTAGAATGATGGTACAGAACTGAACTCCGCTCTTTGCTCTTGATCGGCTAGCAGGGCAGATGAGAATCAGCACTACATCTGTATGTCTTTTGGCACCGTTACTTTGAAGTCCCAAAGTTATAACTGATCTTTTCAACATTTCGAATCCTTTTTCTTTGGTGACCAGATACCTACTCGGACGCAGAACAAGAACACTGGAGTGCAAAACTTCGTTCCTTTGAATTCACACGAATAAAGCCATTTATAGTAGTCTGTATTTTTTAACAATACAAGTTTGAGGAATTAGGTCTTTTTGGTATATACAATGAAAAAATGCATTGAAAAAATCTGCAATATATTTAAGTTACTGTAGGTGAACAAAATTTCAAGTAGAGACATATCAATTTAATATTAACACCTCAAAACCATTAGCTTGTCAGGGATTTTCTGTTATGTTCAACAGAATATAGAATATTATCTTTTTGAAAAGGCAGCCATCAGAACTGATGCAACTCTAAGAGCAGGGCAATATTAAGCCTCGAAAGTCAAAGCAGCTTTCAGAAGAAATGTGCATCTACACTCAAAATATAGAAATTGATTTCTACTAATGTATATAAACAAAGCAAAGGATGAAAATATCAGCATTTGGGGTTAGGGAGTTAGTCATACACAAAATCCAGTGGAACCGCATATAGAAAAAAGTATTGTGAAAATGTATTTGGTATAGGAAAATTGAATTACAGTTACCTAAAAAGAGTACCAAAGGCATGCTAATATGCCATCTTCACCTCTGAAGTAGATGAATCATATAATTAAACCAGATTCTTTTGGCCAATTATAATTATAGACATATTTGCACACCTATCTCAAACTTATTTTGCACTTTCATACTTGTGAACTCAATAGGAACACCGTATTTTGTTCATGAAGCAACTGCACACCAGAAGAAGTTGGACTGTGTATTGCTAGTAACATTCTGGTTACCTTGCATATTCTTCTAGAAACAGGACCAGACAACTGACAATCCCCAACATAACAGACATTTCACAGTAACATTTCCTGAGTAAACATTCCCAGAAGCCCAGCTGCATAGGATATTTCCCAACTCTTGAGTGTACTACAGGGCAGACAACCAAGTGCACCTCACCCCACAATTCAGATATAGGCATTGTATGTTTGGGTCTTGGTATAGAACCTTAACCAAGCTCTAAGGGAAATATTTATGAAGCTTTTTTAGGATGATTTATAATCAAACTGCCAAAGCCAAAATGCTGGAACTTATTTCATCAGGGAAACAGCTTCAAAGCCACAGAAAGACATTCTATATACTATATGAAGCACATTAAGGGATGCATCTACTTTTCTGTTAGCCAAAGTTGAAACGATCACTTTGACAAGATGAACATTAAAAATAAAGAATATTCTGATGGCCTTTTCCTTCCTCTATACATACCTTAGTTACATTTCATGCATTCATGACTTTTGGTAAATTTAACTCTAAGATGAGTCATAAGTAGTATTTATACTCCATTATAGACCAAGTTTTGCAATCTGCGCTCATGCTCATAAAAACCCCCAACTTTTAAAGCCTGTTTAACCCCTCTGTGATGCAGAACCTAGACGAAAGTAGCTCAGGCTGGCAAAATGTATATAAATGCATATAAACCTCTGATGATCTTCCATTTTTTTTTAAACATAAAATAAAAAGCAACAGTGCCAAACTTTCCTGCTAAAGGAAACTATTTCAAAGGCATAATTTGTCTAAACTTGCATACTTTTTCATTATGGGCCAAACTCTAACTTATAAATCTGCAGGGATTCAAGACTGTTGTTGAGCTCAACTGGCCCAACAGCATGCAGAAGAGAAGATTTTAACTGACAACGAGGCTAAAACAAGACACTGGGATCAGCAGTAGCAGCAGCTTCGAATGCTACCGGAACCAGTCCTTTTCTGCTGGATGTGGACACTTCATAGCGGATGCCAATCTTCAACGTCCACAGCTTGTAACAAAGCAAATTAAAACAAAGCAGACGGGCAACATCCTAAGACAGTGGGGACCATGAACCGCAGTGGCCACAGAGCGTGTACACTTCCCCCTTCTGCCACTGCTATGTGGACTGGCAACCTTTTGCACATGGATGGGCACACAGGGAGGGCAGTAATGCTATAGAGCTCCGCTGATAAATCCAACAGAGCTCATCTGCTGGTGTCATGGGTCTAACTGATGAAACATTTTACATTATACAAAGAAGTAGTAACAGATCCCTAGAAAAGTTCACATATAAAATGCTGTACAGATGGTCACATTGATTAGGAACAAGGCCAAGGAATAGCTTTAACTAGTATACCAACGCATTAGCAACAAGTACGAAAAAATTAAAACATGTGCCTCCATTTCTCACCGTGCATTCCCAGAGGTGCGTCCAAGAATGACAGGCTAATTAAAATGTGGGCCTTCCCTCTACTGCCAGCAAAATTAGGAACTGGAAAATTTTAATAGTAGCATTTCCCTGTTTTCAATTCACATTGAATATCAATTGCCCAGTTGAAGTTTAGTAACTCAATTGGTATATTAAAAAAAAAAGTAACTTTTCTTGATACTAGAAAACAACATTTCCCTTGTAAACCCAACACTGCAGAATTACAGAAGAAGCCAAGAGGTCAACAACCAGCAGGGAGAGCAAGAACACAAAGCACACTGTGTTTTAATTTATGGGAATAAGTGGCCTCTCCTCTCTTTTCTTCCAGATATTGGTTTTGCTATCTCTTTTTGCGATAGACGGTCTATCCCTTTTTTTAGCAGAAGGGATACCAGATTCATGACTTCCTGACAGAGTTTTTCTTCTTAGACCTTCTTCATCATGCTGTTCTATGACTGGCCCATTCCCTCCATCCAGAATGTGCCTCAAAGCCTGGTCCTCTGGAGTGCAAACAGTGGTCCCACTTTCACTGCTACTCAGATCCAGATCTTCCAAGTAAAGGATCTTAGAATGCGGCATATTTTTTATGAAAGTTTTCTCTCTCTCCAGTTTCCTACTAGGATGATGCTCATTCATGTCCACACCAGAGTCCAGACTGGTATCGTTACTCTCTGTTTTCCTGCCCTTTTTCAGATCTATGAAAGAATGCCTCACTTGAGCAATGGGCTTTCCATCCAGAGACACAAACCATGCTCGAGGGTGCGGAGATGGTTTTCCTTTAGAGAGTTCCAATAATGTTTGTTCTGAAATACCTTGAAGTTCAGATGAAAATGGAGTCATTACAACTGCTTCATTCAATGTCCCAGGAACAGAGACAGATTCCAGTAAGCTATTAGTGTACCGGCCCCAGTTTGACGTTTGAGAAGGTAAGCCCTCTTCACTATCTAATGTACTGTTTTCATCTCTGCAGACAGAAGGCTGTGGATGAGAGTGCACTGGCATTTTTGGTAACGTTTGCATGTAACTGTCGCGATTCATGGGTTCCATCATGGGGCTATACACTAACTGCCCTTTTCTTGGCAAAGTTGCTGATTTAGCAGGATGCAATTGTTCTGGGGAGTGGAAAAGGTCAGAGGTTTGAAGAATAGCAATAGGTTGATTGTAAATATGCATTAGATGTTCTGGAATATGGGAAAGCCCATACATCTCCTCTTTCAGTGAAAGGTATCTGTTTTGGTCTTGAATGTCCCTAGAAGCCTGGGAAATAGTACTGTTACTATGCTTTGGCTGCTGTAGGTGCCTAACTCCAACATTAGGCTCCAATGAATGGGCTGAATTTCTTGACTGACCAGAAGCATCCTCTGTGTAGATTTTAAAATTGTCTCGTGATTTTCCATCTTCCGTATCTATGGACATCCTTCTTTGAGGGCTGTATGAAGAAATCTTCGGTGTATATAACTGTGACTTATCCTCCAACTTTAAAGGCCCTTTGACAGCATTGATGTGATTTATGTGAGTTGTTGATGTTGTCTGGTCTTTTTTTATGACCTCCAGCTTAGTTGTATTTTTTTCCTTCTTTTGCGTCCGACCACATTTATCCCTATGCAAAAGAGATGTAAGGTGACTGTAGAGCATATTAGGGAGTACTAGACTGGTCACTTCCAGAGCTGAAGATTAGATTTTGGTTAAAAGTTATAGTGTAATGTGACATCACAAACTTAAAATGAAGTTCTGTAATAACTGTAATTTTTAAAGAAATATTAGGCTACACATTATAGTTTAGCTAAGGAAACAAGTCTCAACTTCAAAAGACTATTTTATCAACCTTAAGTTCCATTCATGCTCAGCTTATTAGAGCCTCTCTTTTTGCTTACCTGCAGTAACAAAGAAGAACAGCAAAAAATCCAATGATAATGACAACTGTACCTCCCAGTATGGCCGTAAGGAACACTGTGTGATAGGCTGTTATGTCCTTGGAAACCGCACTAATAATGGATTCTAGATTGTCGAACAAAACCAGACAAGAATTAGTTCTCAAAAACAAATAATTCCGCCTGATATGCAGAGCTGTAACTAATAAATTAAACTGTACTTTTCCAGTGATTTTGTGTTCCTATGGCACTACGTTCATCCTTCCCTTTTCACCTTGCTATTTCAGCAAACTAGAAAATATACAAACAGTGGTTACAATATAATGGATCTTCAAAGGTTCATCTCAAGTACTAAAGCCTTACCATGACATCTACCCAATTCCAGTCAAATTACATTTGTATTAGTTGTCCAAACTGACTTAGAAACATGGTCTACATTTTCTAGTTAGTGCTTCTGTCAGAAAGTGCCGTTTTTAAATTTTGACATCATATTTCTCCCATAAGAATCCCTTCATATGAACTTGCAAAACATGCAACAAGTCTACATAAGACAGAATCCACTGGGACCATTTTACCCAAGACTAATTTTCGTGTTGTATTTCCTCCTGTCATACATGATCCTCAACAGTAAGGGATACAGTCCCGCTGATTTTTAGATCTCCATAGTCACAGTTCCCTTGCAGGCTTCTTCCAAAAGATGGCGATAGTATAAACATGTAAGTTCAAATACAGTCTGGACTTTTCCCCCTATAGCATTGGAAGTTCTAGGAAATGGTTATATGCACAAAGGCACACTATCAGGATTCAAACAAAAAAGTTATCCAACTGTTCAAATTGCATGTTGTTTTTCCCCTTCTGTTGTTAAATAAAGCAATCAAACTGACAGCCTTATGATACACTGTTACTTGGGTTACTCAGTAATTTCTTTGCCAGTTGTTGCAATACCTCTGGTTCCAGGCAGTGGAGCTGCTATCCAGTAGCCTAAGTGTTGAGCAGTATAAGTCCATACTAATTGACCATCTGCTTCCTTTACCATTCCTAGCCCACGGCTTACCCAAGCACCTGAAAAAAAAGGGCAAAATATTGCACATGCCATGCAGAATTTTTCCCTATCTCAAACCATTAGCAATTAAGCTATTACCAAAAATACACAAGGTCACAAGAAAAACTGAAACTTCTGACCTATACACTATTTATTACACAGCTTTAGCTAAACATGCAAACTTTATCTCTTGACTATTTCATTGCAAATATCCCTGTGTGGACATTTACTTTGAAACAAAGCATCAACATTACTTACTGGAATTAATTTAATATAATTCATTTTCTATTAACAAATGTCTTTCATAGATACGCACACAAATCATTTGAAAAATCCTATTATATAAGCTTAAGTATGTATGAAGGCCAAGACTAAAAAAATCAAGGAGCAGGTAATTTAAGCATATGAATACAAGTTTAACATTAGCTAGCAGCACTTAGCGGGAAAGCATTTTAATCTAATAAGCTACAATAGGATAAACAATGTTTGTCTTGAATGTTTCTCTCCTCTTCCCTGCCCCAAGGCAGCAACAGTTCAGTTAGCCGAAGAAAGGTCTATTGTTAGGACACAGATTCCACACCATCTGTCTGGCAAAGGACAGGTATTATGGTATGCCAGCTTCTACAATTAATAAAGCATGCAGCAGAAGAGACAGAACTATACTTAATGCACTTGAACACATTTATTGTGGGCCATCTGTGAAATTCTAAGGACAGAAAACAACCTCGTATAAACAACCTGACATTTTCAAACTGCAAATACTGAGAAGGAGAGAGAACCACCAGCTTTTTTAAAACAACCACCACCAAAGCATGCAAAAAGTATAATTCACATAAAGCCCTATAATTTCTATTTTGCTCCCGGACCCTTCTTTCAGCAAAGCAAAAGGAAATACCTACCAGACAGAAGGTAAAGATGAGAACTGACACATGCCACATATGCACGCACGCACACAGACACACACACAAAATATCATTCAGCAGTAAAACTTGCAGCCTTCTCCTGGTACTTGTGATGGCTGGCAGAGGGGAATAGCAGCAGCCGCCACCTAGAGCCCTGAAAGAGGTGGTTTCCCAGTTACTTGGAAAACCTCTTGTCCTGACTCAGGAGCACGACCAGCCAGAAAAGTCTTCCATCCCTAACTCTCATATGGAGGCAACAACAGATCCTCAAATTCTCTGTCCTGTCAAGTTTAAGGCAAGATGTCACTACACTGCAAAACTATTGTTTTACAAGTGCAGAGGGTGGGCTACTTACAGGCAGATAAAAACCAACACAAAACACCACATATAAAAGGCAAAAAAAATTCTAGGTCTCCAGAAGTTCTAACTTGACTGAAAAAAATCTGTAAGAAGCTATATAATCTTTGCTGTCCTCTTCAGTAAATTTATCTCCCCCCAAATATACTCCATAGAAAACAGTACGTATTAAGAAAAACATTAAAATGTCATTTATGAGTAAGCACATATTTCTATGATTTACTGCCATTCAAACAGAAGGATATCATTCTCAATTTAATGCTGCAATGCAAGCTTTTTTTTTTTGTAATTCTGTTAAAATCCACAAAGTACTTTTGGTACTAATGAGGCAAAATATTTAGTAAGAAGGAAGCCACATTCAATATACATCAACAAATTCTGCATTTACAGCAGCTGGAATATAATTACAAAAGCTCATATTCCAGGAACAGTCTCAGTACTATTACACTTCAAGTAACCCCAGGGAACACTGCATGAGCAGACATGTAAAAGCAGTTTCTATCTTTTTTCTGGTGCATATGGATCAGTCTACACAACATCAAACACAGACCTGTTCCCTTACCACTATCAATACTGACATGGAAGCTCTGATTACTAATATGACATATTACCCAAGGACTTCAGAGTTTAAAAGTGTGCATCAACACCTTGCTGGGGACATCCTGCATACAACATCTTGGATGCCAGAACCTCATTATTCAGTGCAGTGGTAGCTCTCCATTCAGCTCAGATGGGGGCCTACTGCTACTTATGGACACTGGAATGCTTGCCAGAGAGCTAAGGTGTTCAGCTGTCCTCAGTCACCAGAACCTTGACCAAGGAATGCCTTGCTATTACTCAGTTACCTTAGAAAAAAGTTGTTTTGCACATGTTGGATCAAAAGTAAAAAATAAAAAGAAACATATTTAAGAATAAACATCCAGAACAGTGAATACAGTTGCAAATTTTCACTGTAGAGAAGAGATGAGGAAGTAGAAGAAAAAGTGGAAGTTAGAGTTATGCCCAAAAAGTTTCTCTCCTTGTCCACAGTCCTCCTTGTCCTCTCCTCAGCAAGCAGCAGTGAAGGCTCCATGGGAACACTACAAGTCAGTGAACACCCACCACAAACAATTTGCCTTTATGGAACCTCTATCAGAGTACACCCCATCTGAGAGGAAAAAAAACATTTTAATTGTTTTTATTGGGTCAGCATGCCACGTTACTGCTGTTGCTTTACCCCCAAGGCCAACATGCCTAAGTAGGTTTATACCCTGGTACACTGGTTTATACTCTAACCTGACCCTGTGCTGAACTGCTCTAGCTCTGTCAACTTTTCGTTTTTATAACATTGTTGACCTAGTTTTCTGTTTAGTGAGTTAAAACAGCTCAACATAGGTACAGATGAGCACAGGAGCTGGCAAAAGTGGCTGTGGCAGCAAAAAATTAAACTCCCTTGTGCTATTTTACCATGTCAGACTAAAACCCTTTCTTTGATGAAGAATGCTGTCTCTTGTCACGTTACCCCTCTGAAGTCTTCTGGGTATATAGACAGACTTAATCTTCTATGCCAAAACTTATTCTATTCACTCTTTTCCCAAGAGATAACCTAGCCAATTTTTTATCAGCATGTTCTTAACTCAAATTAATGTTCTTTGGTTGTTCTTCATTAAGATGATCAGTTTCTTTCTTAGACATGTAAACAATGCTTTGTTAGAGCTGGTGTCCTCTCCTGTACTTCCAACAGTTGAATAACAGCTTTTTGCCTTAATAAGGAGTAAGACACTTACCTCTTCACTCACTTGCATATTTCACGATGAAGTGTGATGGAAAGTATAAGGTACAATGTAAGACAATCAGTACACTAATGCACACACACCTAATACAGGACATCTAAATGGGATACGTGTATGTAGCTCATTACTCACTCTTGACTAAAATTAGACATGAAGGGAGGACAAAAGGTTTACAATGTCTAATCCCTAGCCTCCTCTTCCCATGCATACTGTAAGAACTATGTTGTTCCCTTTGATAACTCTTATTTCCCCTTCATTTCACTTTCTGAATTGCTTTTGTTAACTGAAGTAATATCTATTCCAGCTTTAGTGTCAAAGGATCTTTAGAGCTATACTCTAGGAAACAAAGCATCCAAATCTTCAATTCTGATTTGTTTTCTTTTAAGAAGGCATTCACAAAATTACCAGGCTTAAAATTTAACATCACCTAAAACGTATGTTCCCTGAATCCTTAGCCTCCCATGAAAATAAAAATCCATTACATTAAAAATTTGTTCAATAGGAATGCTAATGAATTTTACCAAAGCTTTTTGAACTAATGAAAGCAGGGAAATTCCTCTGAACAATTCAAGCTAGTCAATCAAAACCCAATACAGAACCCCTAATAAAATTTGAGACTATTTACCACCACCTCATATATTAGTGCCATCACTGTTCCATGACATAGTGGCATGTGCCCAAAACTATATACATGTGCTAAAAGGTAGGGTAACAGATAACTTAGCCCACTTACCAGTTTTCATATCGAATGTCCATGCAGGTATAGCATCTCCTGATTTTACAGTACTTGTGGGAAGAGGAAGTGTAATCTGAATGGGACCATTTACTTTCAGTTCTTTCCCAGTCAAAAGAACATTTACGCATATTGCAGCAAGAGGAGCTAATTCCACGCTTTTGAAACCTGAGTGTGAGAAATATCTTCACTATGAATGGAGAATTACAGGCTATTTTTAAAAAAAATATTTAGAATTATCTATCCTCATTATAACAAAAGGCAAGCCCTCATTCACATCCAGCTACACAGTCAGCTGTCACGAACTTGGTCAAATAAAAATCAACACCTCTTCTGGACTTTTAAAGTCTTGTGATTAAAATACAGTCATTTCTATACCAAATCTGTAAAAGAGAAACAGACTTTTGACATATAGGTTCAATGCTGACTATAGAACCAATGATTAGGCAAAACTTGGCTTGGGGGTGGAAGAAGGGTTTTTCCCCTCAGATAATTTGATTACAAAGTAGCTAACCTATGTGAAATATAGATAGTACAAGAATTTTTGTATAATTGCAATATACGTAACATTGAATCAAACTGAAGACATATGCAAATATATGACTGCTGCATTTCTCCTTAGTTGAACAGTCCTCTTAAACTTTCCTGTAAGGATTAACTTTCTAATTTGGTAGTTATAATTAAATGAATAGTTAATCATGAGGCTTGTCAAAGCGCTCAAAGGAAACATTGTGTATACAACGCTTTACAATGCAGCCTGAAAGTTTGTTTCCTTTCTTTTCCTTACACTAATTTGCAAATACTTCAGAATGCACAATATGACAGCATGGTGAAAGAAGCTGAAACAGAATTAGTAAGTACCAGAATAATGTTAAATCTATGCAAGGTGTTAGAAGCTGGTTGTGAGAAAACTCCTGGTGCATCAGATATCAATTAGCTTCCACGTGCCCTAAAAAGGAAGCCTATTCCTTTAGGAGTATATGAATAATTTAAAACACATGCCAGACAGACTGAAAGGAAAACTCAAAGGGGAGAAACAGTGCCTATTCTCTTATGCTTTACATTTAAAGAGGTGAAATATATATAATAAAGATTTTAAAATATGTAAGTCAAGACATCAATATATATGATTATTTTAATTCAATGAAAATTAAAGAAAAGAGCATGACAAGTTCAAATAAGCCATGCAGTGACCTCCTCATGTGCTGCAATGAATTTAAGAGCCTCATGGCTTCAGGTCCATTGGGAATAGAAAGAAAAGAACAAAAGAAAGATGGAACTGCACACAGTACAGTCTACCAGAGATTACTGTATTTTTACAAATAAAAAAAATCTGATAGAATGACAAATACTAAAAGATCCAACTGCATGTGAGCAGAGTTATAATGACTCACGAAACCACTTACTGCTTCTCCAGTGAAACAGATGCACAGCAAACATACTACAGTTGTGCTCTGTATACATAGTGACTACTTGGTTTCAAACAGGCTTAGGCAGATTAACTGCCTGTGAGCCAAACTAGAGCTTCCATACAATCTTTATGTTAGGTGTAGAGCTCCTAGAGCCAACCATTCCAGCGAAAATGCAGAAAACCCCACAGCTGAAGTCAACTGCTGCAGTTTCACTGATTTCTTTAGGTTCACCTAGTTTACACTCTGGCCATAACCGTATTTTTAAGGTGTTTACTAAACCAGTTCCACAGTCTCATGAAATCCTGAACATATACATATATACACACACACACGTGTATATAAAAAGCAGACTCTGAAGGAGTATTTCAGTGTAGTAAGATGTGTTATGTTCTCATACTACATGGAAAAAGATAAGAGTGACATCAATTACTTACCTGATGTGTTTATAGCTTGCTCCTATAGAACAAAGCTTTGTGGTTTAATGCAATGGAAGCAGGTTCAGGCCCTTTTAATTTAAGCGTATGCTTTTCTGAAACACTGTGCACTCATATGCATTATAATTTGTTCTTTTAAAAAAATTCTTAAACAACATATTTACATACCTGATTTATTTAGAAGAATTCCTGTTGTATAGAGAAAGCTGTCCACTTTGAAAAATTGCTCTGGCACTGTCAGATAGGCTGTAACATTTGTAATGTGGTGATTTGTTGGAAGCTTTATTAAAAATTTTGGAAACTGAACACTTGGTTGAGATTTGGCATCTATAAAAGAGGAATATTTTGTCTTAGCAATGGTAAAACACACAAACAGTGTTTTTATTACTGCTCAGAAATCTATTTAGCATAACAACCCATTTTCACCCATTTTCTCCACGGTTTGTGTATTTCTAGTCTAGCACTTGTCACAGCCACACATACAGCTACACAATTAACTGAAAATCTGGCTTTCAGATAGGTATTCTCTGAGAATATGAACATGCTTAATTTTTTTTTTGTATGTGTACAGATGGTTATCACAAAGTGTTTAGATTATGGTCTGCATACACTGAACTTACCAGACAGTTTTCCAGTAATTAAGACAGTATCTTCAAACAGCCATATATTAGCTTGACTTTGTGGGAATAATGAAAGTGTCACAGACGAGTATACTGTGGAAAGTGATAATATCTGTTACACTGTGCAACCAAAAAAAAAATCCTGTAAGATCTCAGATTCTGAAGGAATAGTGAATAGAGCAGTAAGAGAGTATATGAAGACTGGATAAATAAATTACTCCTGTTGTCCAGAGCAGGAATTTTAGTGGTCAGGTAGGAAGACCTCTGTTTTATGTTTGCTACTGTCTTATGCCTTCTACAGATAAACAAGTGGCTAGAATTCTTAAGAGTCCATCTGTTTTTTTTTTTTAAAAAAAATCATATAACTTTAAGAGCATGCAATAGTTAAACAGGAAAACTTGTAAGGAAACACTGCTGAAAGGAAGCTGTAACAACAGGTTATACCTGTTATACAGGACTCAAAGCACTGGCATTCCAGGAATCACTAAAGACAACGATTTTTGTCAAAACACATTACCAGCCCTTTGCTAAGTCTTGGTAAACAATTTCTCAGAATACATTCACAGTATCGCAATATAACCTACTTAGAGTTAAAAAAGGGCTATTTTCTGTTTTACAATAGTAAGAATTTTGACAAGTCTAACAGATCATTCACCCTTACGCCTGCACCACCTCCCTTGACTGACTTCATTCAGTCATTTTCAGATGACAGTAACTACCCAGACTGCTGAGGAAGAGAAAAATTTAATTACCGACAGATACAGCTTAATACTAGGACTGTAAGATGCTTACGTACTTGGCATTCTCCCAGTCTTCCAAGGCAAAGGTGTTAACATATAGCCATCCTTGTATGATACAATAGTTAAGCTTAATCCTAATTTGTAGGGAACTTTTATTAATACTGCTCCATTGTTTCCAGTAAGAGTAGAATTTGTCTTTGTGTAGTTAACAAACACTTCTACAACCGCTTGTCGCAGGTACTGATGACTGATGATGTCATTTACTTGAATTTTCAGCGTAAAAACAGATCCTATTAACAGAAAGAAAAAACAGGAGGTCATATACATCATAACTAAGGACCATAACTTAAGTTTGTAAAGAAGTCCTAGAGTTTGCGCCTTAGCTATTCATCCACTGTATGGTGGATCTCTGTCTCAACAGAGGGTAAGCTCTGGCCAAAGGGAGGGGTAATCATATAGCTATATACCACAGGGAAGAAGGAAGCAAAAAAAACCTTGAGATGGGGCACAAAGATGCCAAAAAGTGTTTACCAAACTCAGCAAATATAATACCTAACCAGTTAAAAAAAAAAAACAAACAAAACCAAAATTGCAAAGCAATTCTTCCCCTTTTCATTTAAGCTTGCACAATGCATCTGTGACAATGTGAGATGTGCCTGGCAAGTGCTCTGCAATATCACACGGATAATACAGGTCTTGTTTTCCAAGTGTAACCCTTGGCTTGGGTCACACATTTAAAGATTTACCTTGAGTTTCTAAAAACAGAGAACCTAATGTCTACAGACTGTGGGATAACACATTTATTTTTACATGTGTAAAATTATTATAAAGTAATCAAATGCATCCAGACACTTTTTTTATCTCCCACCAGATTTACACTTCTGGTCTAGTTTTCACCTTTCTGTATTGCAACTTCTAAATAGTATTTGTCTACTGCTAATTAGAGGATCTGACATTCCTTTACAATACCTAGTGTCTTGCAGAGATCATAGTCACAGTGACTGAGCAGTACGTTGAAAATAGTAAGTCTGCTTGAACAACAGTCTCAAGATGCTCTGAATTATATTCAATTTCTCTTCCACCTTGATTGTAAATATAACTATTAGGGAAGTCTTTTCATAGACAGCAGGTACATGAAAATGGACAGAATTCCATATTTCTTCCAGTGTGAAATGAAGTTATTATCATAAATTAAAATATCCATGGATCACTGTTAAAACTATTTCAAATAACATCAATTTTCCAGTTTTTGGTTACAGACATACTACTATTCAACAGCATTGCACTACTTTATACCCAAATATTTTCAAATACATTAATTCTAAATATGCATTTCTATTTAGGTCAAATGTCAGGCTAAGTTTGAAATTTATCTATATAAAATCATAATTCAATTTCATTATGTTATCTCTTCTGTAATTGAGATTGACATTGCACCAAGAGATTACTACCATTGACCTTGATTTAAATGAAAAGGCCTTGAGAAGCCGAGCACAATCCATCAAAAAAACAGTAGGTAGTGAAGACATCCAAGTTAGGCCTCTCTGAAATAAGTATTTATTTAGATCTGTTGTATGCATGGAACATACCATATATTCAAGCAAAAAATGACCTGCACACAACAAAAACTACATTGGCCTCACTTTATTGCTATTTATTGCATACACAGCAAAAACTCACCAGCCGTGCCAGTTTGATTCTCTACAGTGTTACAGAAAAATCTGTATCTCCTTGTGCAAATTAATATATACTTTCAAAAAAAGAAAAAAGATCCCAGTGGTACTCGAACATATTTGACCGAATTAAACAGAAAATGCATAATAATCTTAGAGCAATATCTTTTTTTCCTTATGCAAGATATTTCAAGAATAAAACTGCTTTTAAATTGCTGTTGCTAGAGGGTTTTTAAATCACATTATGATTAAAAAAAAATATGTGTCACGTAAGCAAATTATGGCTACTAAACAGATCTTCCATGCATTGATCCAGTTACACATATACTAGCATGATTTCAGTGGTTTCCAAAACTTGGAAGACAGTCATTTGCCCTTGGCTAATGACTATTTAAAAGGCTACTAAATAGCGAAAACAGACTGTGTACAATATTGTGATCCTGTAATCGCTTGGAAGCCAGGAGTAGCTCATGAAATGGTATTTAAAAAATAAGAAATTCAGTAGTACAAAATTCAAGCTCAGGCCAGTAGGAACCAACATCAGAAATGCCTGGTATAAATTAGTAATTTAACAGCTGGAATCAAGTCAGGAGAAAGAGAGTCTAGTATTAACAGCTGAAATAAGTAATAAAAAAATTGAAAACCTAGAGTGTACTCAGAAAGACACTTTCTTTCAATCATTTCACATTTTTAATGTGTATTTTTCCATTTCCTGCTAACAAAAAGCCTAATGAAAACACAGGGGTGGGGGAATCACTACATTCCTCCTCCAGCTGTTAGTAAATTCAAAGGTTATTTTGTGCAAAAATATTTCTTCCTCTCATCTCCTTCAGTTACAGCCATATTAAAACCCACTTTTTTAGAAACTTTTGCTTGAAAAAAAATAGACTGCAAAAACATAGACAGCTATACTATTTTCACTCTTTCTCATAGTGAACTGTCAAATATCATTGGCTGCTTTTATCCATGCTCAACTTCCATTACTTCTTTCTCCTATGAGTTCAGAAATTGCCACGACATTTTTCAAAACTGATGCTCTGCCTGAAATGGTGTTGAGAAGATACAGAAGCACAGTTGTAAATGCAGACTGAAATCCTGGGGGGAGGGGGTTACTGAGACAAAAGTCTGCCATGTGAAAACAGAGTCTTACACAAGAAAAACTCTGAAAGAGTAATTACCTGCATATTACTGTCATATGTAAGTAGCAGTTACTCAAGTGAAAAATGCTCACTTCACACACGCTAATATTAAGACAAAGATTAGTGGAGACTCAATCCCTAGCTCTCATTGCTTTTGGCCTTATCTTTTGTGCTAACACAAGAGAAAGTATGCCAATCAGCTGGGAGTTGTTCCCCCCCTAAAAGGAATATATACGAGCAAATCATTTAGATTTTCTAGTATCAACCAGAATGTACCCTGCCAACAAGTCACTTGAAGCTTGTGTGCAATGATTTTGGAAAGACATTTAAGAAAAAAAAAAAACAACTTTCCATTTCTCGACAGTAACAGTGCAGAAGACATGAGCACACAGTATTATGCCTCTGAATCCAAATGCTAGTGAAATGACAGTATGTAAAAAATCCCAGTTAAAAAAGCCAGAATCCAACAGTAACAACGATTTTCCTCCCCCACAGCCACATTTCACTATTGTTTTGCATAAAATGGAGTGTGCCAGAGCATCCTACAGCAGGCTGGCTGTAACAGCCTAGTTAAAAGCAAAACAATCATAAGGTCCTAAGAGCTCAGACTGTGTGTGCAGTGGTGGTCCAACATGTATGACCGATTTGTATCTTTCCAAACTTGATATCCCTTGACCGACTCCCTCACGTGCCTCGCATGCATTTAATGTGCAAATTTATCAGACACATTTAATGGCACTGAGTTATTAACAATGTCATATTAACACTCATGATATCTAATTTGCAAGGAAAATCCTGCTTGCTTTTTTTTTTTAATAAAGGTCTTAATGCACAAGTCCTTAAGGACACTTTTAAGTCTCAGATATGATGGAGACTGCAGTAGGATTTTTTAATCACAATAAAATGTACTGAAAAACATTTCAGATGCAAAAATGAACTGCTGGTTAACTACTGAACAAAACCAAAGCTGATAAATTAAACAATAGATGAAACTTGTTGGTTTTTTCTGGTCACTAACACTTGCCAAGCACAAGTGGGTCAGCTGTATCTCAATATTAAACAGATTTGACAGAACTCCTACAATTAGAAGAAAGAACTCAGTCTTAGCTAATTTGATTTGTGCTGCCTCAGAGGAAGGGAGATTTGTCTTTTGGCAAGGCCACTGGAAATGCCAGCTTCTACGACATTTAAACGTTTGCTGATAAAGGTCCATACAAATGCAGCAGTTATTTAGACAAAGGGAAACAAGGCTGCCTACCACATTTAGCTACTTTAGAAATGCCACAGCCAGTAAAATGACACCTCATTTCTTTGAGGAACAACATCTAATGCCTGGAATTTGGCTTCACATCACTGTCCTAACTCAGAAATCGTATCACCGAATTAAGCCAAAGAACTGCTTGGAATTGCAAGCTGGGTACAAAAGAACAGTGCAAAAAAAATCTCTCTTTATAATACCCCTATGAAATTTGTTCTTAATTCTTTACCTGCAGAGAAGCGTGTCATCTGGTAACCATATTTATCTGTGCTTTAATTAACACGGTCAAGGTCAGAGACCTTACAGGCACCAATATATTCCAAACTACACGTATCATTAACTGTGAGATACAGCAGTGAACACACACACGCAGGGCACAGCCCAGGAAGTATTCCTACACATTCTGCAACCCAGGCATAAGTCCCTTTTCCTATTTATCACCAAGGTCCTATAGCAGAAGAGGTTCTACACCTCGAAGGAGGCAGTTACTCTTCTCAAACACACAGACAACTACCCAATTCAGCAATTATCTTATGGAGTGGAGGGAACAGTAACTACAATTAAATTATTCATTAGTTCCTTCCTTTGGAGGATACTTTTCTCATCCTTGCCTAGAGATGTTTAAATCCATGCCAGAAAAGGCACATGCTTGCATGTGCTTTATGGAAACTGCCTACACTGTATTACCATGCTCCCAGCTAACCAGACAGGTAAAATGTGTGCTGTGCAATTTGCTTGGTATTAGCTGACTGAACAATCATTTTTCCATCTTCTACATTCATAGAACACCATATTTTTTGGCTTAATATAATTAGGGATATGAAAGGTGCACTGAACTGTAAAGAAGAAATCACATGTTCTAAGAATATCAGGTTTTACTACACATGCAATATTGCAATGGATATCACTGGGGGGGGCGGGGAAAAAATCAATGAAATATATAATCTAAACAGTCAACACACATCTGGCTTTAGTAAAAAAAGATCATATAAAAGCAATCCTCCTGCCCACAAAAAACAATCATTACTTCTTAAAATTTCCTTAAAACTACAGTAATGCCAGTGACAAACTACAAAAGCATATCTATAAAAAGTAAAAGCCTAT